GACTCACTAGTTGATCAGTGTTGGCTTGCCTAACAACGGTGTTGGGCGCCATCACGACCTATAATGGAATTTGGGTCGTGACATACCTCGCTCGAATTTACAAAGTCAAAACTGACTCTGCCCAAGTTGGCGAGACAAAATTTGACCTCGCTCAAATTTACAAAGTCAAAACTGACTCCACCCAAGTTGGAGAGACAAAATTAGACCTCGCTCGAATGTACAAGTCAAAACCGACCTCGCCCAAGTTGGCGAGAAAAAAATTTGACCTCGCTCAAATTAACAAGTCCAAAGTGACCTAGCCCAAGTTGGCGAGACGAAATTCGACCTCGCTCGAATTAACAAGTCAGAAGTGACTTCGCTCAAAACTGGTATGACAAAATTTGACCTCGATCTAATTAACAAATCTAAATTAACTTCGCTCAAATTTGCAAGACGAAATTCAACCCTGCTCGAGTTAACAAAGTCAAGTTCAAATTATCAGGTCGAATTCGATCCCACTCAGATTAACTACGAGAAGTCAGGGACTTATTGCGAGAAAATCCAAGAAATTTGAAAGGGAAAAGAGAAGGGAAAGCCAAAAACATACAAACAAAGACAAGCCAACTACTTCATTCGAAGAAAAGGTAAGTATCTTACAAAGGTCCAAAAAAGGGGGGGGCCCACCCAGTAACAACAAAAGAATAGAAAAAAAACTAAGTACAAAAAGCTATAAAAATTTCACTCGGCCTCCCCACCATCGTCCTCTCCAGCATCGTCATCATCGGAAGGAAGCCCATCTTCAATACCATCACCCCCACCGGCCTCCGGTGTCGTAGGGTCATAACCGCAGGCAAGACGAGCCTCGCGTGCCTTAACCCGAGCATCTTCAAAAGTGGCCTCAGAAATACTCCCCGCCGTCCACAAACCCTTATATATATATATATCTCGTTGGGCCTCAGCATGGACCCATAACTCGTACAAATGACGGGGGACAGCAATAGAGGCAGATTCTTGAGGGCAGGCCTGAGCCAACAGCTGTGCCTTCTCGGCCTCGAGAGTCGTAACTCGGTCTCCCAGGCTCGAAGCATCCCGATCAAGTTCACTAATCCGCTCCTCGAGCCATGCCTCCCTCAGTATGGTCGTCGCCCTCTCGGCTTCCCTCTCAGACTTGAGGACGCGGATAGTGTCTTCTAGGCCACCGCCCTCGCCAAAGCCGCCACTCGAGCTCCCTCGAATCTCTCCAACTAGGCCACCTTCTTTTCTAGTTCAGCCACCTTCTCCGTCCACTCTACACTTAGATTGGCGACTCTAGTGGTATTTTGCTCAAGCTCGGCTCACAAGGACAACACCTTCACCTGAAGATCCTCGCATTCCGCTGCAACCCCTTTGCCCACCTCGAGCTCCTCGTCTTTGGCACTAAGCAGCTCCTCGAGCTCGCTGCATCTGTTGATAGACCGCATCAAATCCTCATCCCTTTTCTCTAACTCCCTGACAAATTGAGTATTACCGCCCTCCCTAAGTTGCGCATGCATCTTACGGCACTTATTGCGATACCGGTGATACTTCATGGACATTTACAGAAATATTTTGGCCCGTGTCTCAGCCCTATGAGCACTCTAGATCTACATCATGTAAGTCTAAAAAAAGGTGGGAGGAATCAGCAAAAGTAAATGGCACAAAACAAATAAAATAGCAAAAGAAATCTCACCCTTAAGGCCATCCCAGCCACACCGCGTGACAAACCAGAATCGTTGATCTCCCGAAGAGACCCGCTTTCGACGGCGGAGCATAGAAGGTCAAATTGGGGCACCAAGTCCACCGTGTCCTCCAACAGGTTAAAGTCTGACGGAATTTCGAGCACACGGGAAGGGCTTTCCGCCCTTACATCGACCCTGGTAAAACCTTCCTCAAACATCCTCATATCCTCAGGATCAATATAAGAATCAGATTCATAGTCATCTTCCACTATACCCTTCAACCTCTCATTAGCCAAAGAGGGGGTGCGGCCCTGCCGAGACGTCGATAGACCGCTCGAAACAATCGTGGTGGCCTCCGAACTCTGTCCCCCTTCCAAGGAAGCCTCTTTTACTTTCGAGATGAGCACTGCCTCCACACTCAGGCCGGTATCACTGCAGTTTCAGATACCTCCAAATTATGGTCGCCCTTTGAGGGCGTTCCAACCAAAGATGCCCCCTCTAACAACCTCCGCCTATTTGACGGGGCCTCTTCGTCACTGCCACAAGAAGGTTTGTCAGTTGAACGAACTATGGGAATCAGAGTGTCCGATCGAGGAGCAATCTCCGAACGAACAAGTTCGGTCACGGATGCGGTCCGCCGAGCAACCAAACTTTGGACACCCTCATCAATTACGCTTGGTGCGAGCCGGGCAGAGGAAGCCGGTTGACGAAAATCAAGGAGAGGAGCCCTTGACCTTCTCGCTCCCCTCCGACCTGTCAATGAAGATTCGACCCAACAAAGATATAAGGTAAATAAAAAGATGGAGCAAAGAACAAGATAACTAAGGGCGAGACAAGGCGGCTTACTTGCAGAAGGTTTGCGTCCAAACCTCTCGTGAAAGGATGCCCATTCGCGAATCCCCATCGTATGGGGTAGAACCGAGCTCACGCACCCACGAATATCAACAACTTGCGGAGGGGGCGGTCTCTAGACTGCAAAACAAAAACTCAACGAGATCACTAGAGGAAAACAACCAACAATTGTTGTTTAAAAAAAGGAGACGAAAAGAAATGCCTACGAGCGAAATTCCATGCCTCAGGGAACCCAGCGGGGTTAGACACCATGTGCTCCATATGGACATAGAAGTAATTTTCCTAGAAGCGGCGGTTGGTCTTGTCATCCATCTTCACCACCAGGCCCTTAGTGCCTTGGTGACGAAGATGTAGCATGGTGCCCCTATGGAAGCTGGGGACAAAGAGATAAAGCAGGTGTTGAAGAGAAACCTCCCGGTCGGCCAGCTCCGCGTATTTGATGAGCATTAAGAAGAGTTTGTATATATATGGGGAGAGCTGAGCTGGATACACCTCGTAGAAGCAACAAAAATCTACCGCCAGAGAGGGGAGAGGAAGCATGTCTCTGAAGACGAAAAGGTACGCATAGAATGCGCAGTATCCTGGGCGGTGTATGTGCACAATATCAGAGCCCGCTGGAACGAGTTCGATATGCTCAGGGATTCTTCATTTGGCTTTAAATGATGCAAGCGTCGCGTCATCCATCGTAGAAAGAACAGGTTCCGGCTCATGCCCAGCAGGGCTATTGCAGTCAGTCCTTGCCTTCCCTGGACGGGGAACCACCTCATCTACCGTCGGAAAACTCTCGTCCTCTGCCAGACCCACTCTCTCTTTGAGTAGGGGTAGATCATTTTCCGGCACCGGAGCACCAAAGACTCGATCAGGACTAGAAGAAGCACTAGCCATCACTTCAGGTGACTGTACAGGTGGGGAGTGTAAAGAAAGGAGGGTAACAACCACAAGGATTGTTGATAGAAAAAGAAATACGATGAACTAAATAAGAAGGAAGAATGCCCTAAGATTGTCTTATGAACAAATGAGAAACTTTTCCCTACTTATAGAGCTATGGATATGTTGGCTTGAGAAACCAAGCGTCGTCGTTTTTCAAAGATAACGGAAGGGGTACGAAAAATGATGCGACGCATAGAGAACGTGTGCCAGAATGATGCCTAAAAAATTTAATACCATTTCGAATAGACACAGTGGTCTGACGAAGCACCCGAAATGTCACATCATCATCTCGCTAAGAGGTGCTCGCCCATCGCCCAAAAAGCTCAGATTTCTCAAAGGTTTTCTTATTGACGAAGTCCGCCCATCAAGCTCGCCCAAAGACGACCTCAGTAGGTGGAAGGACTAACTTTATGGGTCGAAATCTGACCATATAAGAATTGGCACAAAAAGGAATAGCGAGGGGTCGATTAAGCCGTGGTTGTATTCATAAGGCACCATGACGACGAGTATCTCGGCCACGGCCGAGGTTGAACCATCAGAAAAGCCTGTATGGCGAAGTACACGCCATGGCACTTAGGGAGGTCGACATAAAGTGCAGTTGGCAGATTAGGGTATCCTGACTAAGGACCGTTGGGTAAAGGGGAATACCTATTATATATATACTAGGTAAGAGAAGGTAAAGGAGGACTTTTCGTCCTCTCTTAACAACAGAAGTACGGGTGAATGTTTCTGAGGAAAAACAAGAGAAGATTTAAAACTTGGCTGCAGATCTTTGTAATCATCATTATGGAATCAATAAAGATAGATCCCGCAGCTGTTAATGGTGCACCTTCTTTTTCTTCCTTATTTTACATTACGGAATAGCAACGTCAAGAATGTAAGCCCGTCATCTACATTTGGTATCTTTTATAATCTTAAAGGGTTCATGAGTTTAATCATATCCTATTTTTCCTACTTAATATTCTTTGATCTAGAGTTAATTATCCTTGACTAGGATTTATCCTCTATTGTCTTATTAATTCGTTTTAAGAAAGGGTTTAACACTTTTTTGGTAAAACAGAACCAGGGATTGTTCAAAGTTGCAATGTAGAGAAAGGCGGTGGGGTGGAGGAACGGGAAGAAACTATGGGGAGAAAGAAAATTGTTGGGTGGGGGGAGGGGGAGGGGTAAGGAAGAAGATAATAAAAGGGGTTATGGGAGGGATTTAGGATTTAGGAATTTTGTTATTTTTTGTTTATTTATCTTTTATTTACTTTCTTTTTTCTTATTCAGATTTAATATTTTTAAAAACAGTAATTCGAACCACGCACTTTTTTTGCGTGATTAGCATGCTCTTTGACCACGTTAGTTGTGTTATTACCATATAGGCATAGTCAAAAGTGAGAGGTGTTCACTTATAAGTAATTGATTGAGTTGAGGTGCTAAAATAGAAAAATCAAAAGTTCATATACTGAATTTAAAATTCCGTGCAAGTTACTCTTTTGCCATTATATTAACTTATCTTTTAAATGAGCTAATAGTTTATTTCGAGTTAAACCCAGATAGTATTACTAGTTCCGCACCCTGGTTATTACTTCCCTTTACCTTTCACCTGTTTCTCTCTACTTTCAGTAGCTGCTCGTCTCTCCGCTAATACATGTGGATTATCCCCTCTCTGTTCTAATTTATATAATAATAACCCCAACACTAAATTCCCTCTCTTTCGCTCTGCATGCTTTCCTCTTTCGGTTTATTTGTTATTAGCTTTAGAAATCTGAATCCAAGAACTCAAAGCTCTACTTAATGCTTACAGTGCCTGATCCTCTGCTTCCATTTCCCTTCTTTTCTTGTTCAAATTCAATTAGGGATTAAAGTAGACATTACATATCCATCAACTCCGAATTGGTTAATTCGTCATCAGCATTTCTTGGTACTGTTGCTATCTAATACATGGAATCTTGAGGTAACCACACTTATTATAATAGAATGCCGTTATATTTCAATTAATTACTGCGGGATTCAGCCATAGCTACGGTTTGAAAATTGGCAGAGTTCAAGGTTTGTAAGAAATACTCTCATTGGAAAAATGGCAGCTTCAGCTTCAAATTCAGTTACAAACTCCCCTATATCCTCCACTCCTCACTCTCCTCGTCCTCCACAACGTCAGGTCTCTCTCCCGTACCTAACTGCCTCCTTCATTTTCTTACGGCTTAACCTAAATTGCTCTCTTTTTTCTTTTCTTTTTTGTTGTTTTTTCTTGCTCAATTTTTGTTCCTTTTTCTGTAGGAGGTCGCAAGCCCCACTGTTCCTGAAGAGTCAAAGGAGAAAGTGGTCAAAGATCCTCTTGAGTAAGTGTATAACTAGGCTTCTTGTATAACTGCTATTTTCTTGTGATAGTTTAGCTGAAAGTGTAGGGGTCAGCCTTTGCTTTTATTTATAATCTGCAGCTTTTTGTGTAATCATGGTCTTAAGTGCAATTTTAGTTTGACAGCATTTAAGAGATTTTCTTGCTATTAATTTGTTCATATAAGAATGTCTTTTTAGAGAATAGACTCGTTAGGAATTACTTTTACTTATGGGAATAAGAAGTAGAATTTACTCATGGCTGATAGTCTTTTTTTTCCAATAATAATCTGGGTTTCTTTCATGAGTCTACTAATAAGTATTGCCATTTTATCTACCACAACATTATGGAAAATACCGAGATGGAAGTTCCTGGAGAGCTTAGGAGTGAAAGAAGCCTTTTCTGTTAATTCCTCCTTTCCTCCACAAAGTCCAAGTTCGCATAGATTGATCCTGAGGAAAGAAAACACGAAAATTATTTACGTGATAGTTAGGATTCAGCTATTAGATATGCTAAGAAAAGAAATGTATCGTTACAGACTTCCGGTAATGATAGTCATTAATGGAAGGTGTTTGGCAAATTTGATCAATGCAAGTATGCTTGGGCTGTTAAGGTAGGGGGGAATAACGGTCGCGGAGGTTCATTGTGAATCCTTTGGAGCCCATCTGAAGTTATGTTGACTTTCTTGTGAATATAGCCTATAATTATATCTGGCATCATGTGCTGCAATGGATTTGAAAGCATAAGACGCGTAAATGATTTTTCGTAAAGTTAGTGAAAAGCAAGGTCCATTGGCTACTCTGTTATCTCCTCTCAAGTTAATATCCCCCCTTATATGTGCGAAGTGAATTTGGAGTTTTAAACTAAGATGTTAGGTGAATCCACAGAATACATGTTCTGTATTTAATGACTGAAATTTAGGACTTAAGCACTTTGACTGAAATAGCAAAAAGCTGCTTGTCATGGTATCTGTTAAGTCCATGCTTATCACTTATCGGAGATTCTCTTGTATTATCCATTTAAATTGGTAAGCACAAAGATACTCTCTCTTTTTTACGAATCAAATAATGAATGAACTGTTCTATTATTTCCACTAGTCTACGTTTGTAGGGCCTGGAGATGACTTTTTGAGTCACTATGTACAATTTTGTCCCAACTTGCTTGGGATTAAGGCATAGTTGTTGTCGGTTGTGGTGGAATAGTTTTTGTCCAAATTTTCCATTTTGAAACTTACTTAGAAAGATCAAAACCACGAGGAAAAGGAAAAGCTAAGGGACAAAATAGAGGGCTAAAAAGGGTAATACATGAGGATTTATGGGATCCACCAGTTGCCAATCTACCATATTTGTTTACCCACTTAATCTTGTTAAGTTGCATTAAGTAAACTAGGAGTATTCAAAGTTCCAATTGTGTCAAACTACCAAAGCTTCGTAGTAAGAGTATAATCTTGTTCCATTGCAAAAGTTATTGAAACGGAAGAGAAAAAGAACCAGACAAGGAGGAACCAAGACGAATAGAACATTTTTAGCACCAGAAGTTTCTTTGGATTGACATTATCGAAGTAGTAATTTCGTTGCGGGCAGAAGTTTCACTTTATTCCCTCAAAAAATCCAAACAAGCTATCTGATTCGACGCTCTCCAAATTGCCCCGCCAGACAGGCTCACCCTCAGGCATTGGATTTTGACTTCTCTTCTAATTAAAAACATAACCTACTAGTCTTTTACTCTGTATATTGGGAAAAGATGTCTTACTTTTCATTCTTGTCTATTAAATAAAAATATAAAGTTTCCTTCCATTGAAACAGACTTCATTCACTATTCATTGATCTCTATAATACCATAAAAAATTACAGCTACCTTATTTGGACCCCACTTTTCTGATAACCACAGTAATTTCAACTGTACCCTTCATGTCTATGCCTAATCAACTAAAAATGGTTAATTTTGAAGTGGAGTATTAGTATAGGAAAACAATTAAAACTTTTTAGGTCTCGACTATTGCGTAACACGTCAAAGTTTTCATGTTAGGCCATCGCTAGTTGGATTTTATCCATCCTATTCATAATTTTTTTAATCTTCTCAGGATGCTGCTATTTTTGTAGTCCGTCCTATTCATAATTTTTTTTAATCTTCTCAGGATGCTGCTATTTTTGTAATAAAGTGTGTTTTTCATCTTTTACAGTTAGTATCTTTAAAACAGCTGTCTTGGTGATAACTAATCTCAATGCTAATAGTTTGTACACTCTTGCAAGATCTGTGATATTGTGACCAGTAGTCTGAGCATCTTAACACTCTACCCCTGGACCCTGGTGGCCTAAAATTTTTACTTATTGGACAGGGCTCTTGGTGGGCCTAGTGGGGAAGTATCTTTGCTGGGCCATTTACTAGAAACAATTGTTGAGCCCAATCAAAATTCACTTGAAGATTCCTATTAGCTGTTCCACATGGTCAAATATTAAATGTCTTTGCGTATTTGTTTTTTTGATTTTAGTATTATCACAATTTACTAAAATAATCCTGCTTTTCCCATTATTCACTAGCAGTACATAATGATTTTAAACTGGGAGAATAGGTTTCATTTCTATGTTCATATTGCCGAACTTCAGTGAGTGCCGTATTTGCAATTTTCTGAACTCTTTTTTCAAAAGAAGACTTTCTGAACTTCAACAAATACCTATCATCTTAGCTGATTGTGTATATGAAGTTTTGGCGGTCTGATCGATTGGGGAGGTTGCTCTTTTCCATTAGTTTTCCTATACTTGTTTGCTGGTTTATTCTGTGATTATGAATTAGCTCTTGCAGACTAGTCATTCTTGTATAGATTTGCATGTCTTATTATCTGCAATCTGCCTGTATACAAGGTCGCATGGTTTTGCGTGGATTGAATGTTGTTGTGTCAGTGAATGTTCCTTGCAATTCCAATTTTGATTTTTGTGGGGATATAATAAATTTGTATGTACCTTTTTATGGAAGTATCTTTTGCCAAATTTAACGTTCAACCAGCAATCAATTGATACCTTCTTCAGGTGGGTTGGAGTGGCAGTCTACCCTCAATCTTTTTGACAAAACATGCAAAATCTTAGACAGAGAAAAGGAATCTGTTTATTTGCCCCAAAAATATAAATCTTGTCTATGCATTTGCTATCTGTTGAATTAAAGAAACTTGTTATATAATTCCCTACTTGCAATTTAATTGTGTACTGCTGTATCAGTTTTCAAATTTGCTGCAGCAGGCATGAAAAATCGTAATATTGAAAGAAAGGTTTTTTTGGTTTGCTTTTATCAAGTGTTCTTTGTTCTCAATCTTAATTCTGTAGTACTGATCCTGCTACAGCGCGAATTCCAAGTTCTGTGTTAGACTTACATCTATATAATGTAATCTGAACTTGATGGAGGTCCTAATACCTAACCGTTTTCATGCTATCATGTAGTGATATAGACAGCCAACAGATTGAGAAGTTCAAGAGGTATGAGGTTGAGTCCAGCAGATATTTAATGTCCAAGTACTTCTCAGACAAGACAATTTTTGGAGGTAAATATTCTCACAAAAAGACTATAATTGGTTCGCCCATCGTCCCTTGCCCAATTTAAGTGTCTTTTTTCTGTAATTAAGAAATTATATTTACCGGAGAAAAATATACAGTCATTACAACAAAACCAAACTAAGAAAAACCAACTAACTGGTATTGGACAGAAGGCCCCAACATCGGGTAACACCACCATAGCAGCCTGACTACACCTAGCTTAAGGATAAAAAGTTCAATTGTGCTAATCTTCCTGCTAGCTTTGCCTTCATCTGACCCCTGTAATACACTTTTTCTATCACCTGCTTTACTAATTTCTGCACAAGACACAATTCTGATCACCCACTAAACCCCATTTATGCAGCCTATCCTTCGTAGGAAGCTTGCCATTTGCTGCTAATTCAGAGTGAATAACTACCCTAGGAGAGGCAAGGTTATTACAAAACAGTTCTCTCCAGTGGATTTTTGGAAATACACCTCTCAGCTTCTGATACATAATCTTGATAGAGAAGGATTCTAAGTGTCTTTTTTTTTATAAATCATTTGGTTCTCATTTTAGTTGCAGCGCTTAAATTTAAATGCATTTGGCCTTGAGAAGCAATTGTTCTAAACTAATTTGAAACCAGATTTAAGGGGTTTGCGACAATGTTAGACATTTTCTTTTCATAAGATGTAAAGCAAAATTGTTAGAAGACTAGTGGTTTGCCAGTGCATCTTCAATTATTTTAGTTGTGTCGTTTCACTTTGCATCTGCTTTTAGCATAGCAGAGCTACCAGTTACCGGGAGTCCGGGACACAGACTAGCCACTGGTGAACCAAGTGCCTCGGCATCCCTTAATTATTAGTGTTGAATCAATTTCTTCTTTTTTTATTTAACTTCTTCTGACCTATGGCCTTTGTAAATGAATGATATTGAGAACTCAGAACTGGCATGTCTGGAGGACCTCTCGCCGAAGGTATGGGTTGTGAACATGCTACCTCTTTTGAGTTATAAGAGTATATAGTAAAGTTCATATTTTGGTCAATAGCAGTCAATGCTTTAGTAATGTGTTTTAGTTTTAGGTTGGCACTGGATGGCTAAGAATCGTTTCTGTTGAAAGCATTAATTCTTTTATGCTTTCCTGAAGTAGCAAGGTGATTAGTCCGTTGACATGATCAACTTCACTGGCAATTGTTTGCAGGAAACATCTTTGACGTAAAAATGACTATAAACGGAGAGCAAATAAAAGTAAGCAGGTATGTATAGAAGATATATACAGCATGTTGATTGAATTGGATGTCTTGTTGCCTCAATATCTTCTTTTGCCAGATTTCCTGGGTACCAGTCATATGCAGATCCTGCTAATTTTAATGATGATAGTGGTAGCGACACAATTTCTACAGTGGAAACTACACCACTGAGTGCTAATGGGCAGCAACCTTTCAACAAAGGCTACTAATCTTAGAATTTCTTTCCTTTACAATCCTCTTAATCAGTTGAAATCTCCTGCACTTGTAATAAATCTGAATTTTTTTGTAGTAGATCATCTAGCAACTGTTGGGAAGAAACCCCGTAAAAATAATATTCACGGTATTAGTGATAAACGTGGAACACTAAGTTATGGTTAAATCAGCAAGAATAGAAATGCAGGAATAATGACACCAAGATTTTACGTGGAAACCCTTCTGAATAAGGGAAAAAACCACGGTCAAGAAGAGCAACTGATATCACTATAGCGAGGAATTTTATATTGTGTAGTAACGAGTACAAATACTCCTAAGACCACTACACTCTCAAAAGAAAAAACACTCTTTTGCTTTTTTTCACCTCACTATAATATCTCTCACACTCTATTTTTCTTCACAGGCTATTTTCTTATAGTCTATGGAACTTGCTCTCTTTCACTAAGATGTATTGTCTGAGATTTTGGTGTATCTACAAATGAAAGTAGAGGCAACTATTTTTATAGTTGCAGAATGCCTATATTGATGTATGTTGTGACATCAATGTTAAAGCAAAAGTCAGCCACCCAAATCTTTTCTAAATTGGTTGGCTTGACAAAAAGAAGAAAAAAGAAGCTTTGCTTCTTACACATATGGGGCTGGACCCCATAAATCTCCCCCTCCAGTCTCATTCACCTGAAGGAGGTAACACCGGAGATTCTAGTTTGAGTGCATGCCGACAAGTTCTTTGCAAAGCTCGAACTTATCTCTTGATACTACCTTGGTTAGCATATCTGCAGGATTTTCACTCGTGTGAATCTTTTTGACCTGTAAAGATTCGTTATCCACGTGCTCACGAATCCAATGATATCTTACATCTATATGCTTTGTTCTTGCATGGTACATGGAGTTCTTGCTCAAGTCTATTGCACTTTGACTATCACAATAGACGGCATACTCTTTTTGATGCAATTCCAGCTCTTGAAGAAATCGCTTCAGCCATACCATCTCCTTGCCAGCTTTTGTAGTGGCAATATATCTCGTTTCAGTTGTAGAGAGTGCAACACACTTCTGCAACTTTGACTGCCATGAGATAGCTCCCCTTGAAAATGTGAACAGGTATCTCATAGTAGATTTACGATTATCAAGATCACTTGTCATATCAGCATCTGTGTAGCCCTTCAAGATTGGATCAGATCCTCCCAAACACAAGCAATCTCCTACAATACCTCCTAGGTACCTGAGTATCCACTTGACTACTTCCCAATGTTCCTTTCTAGGATTTTCAAGGAATTTGCTAACAACACCGACTGCATGAGCAATATCTGGTCGAGTGCATACCATTGCATACATCAAACTTCCGACGGCAGAGGAATAAGGAATCTTGGCCATTCTCTTTTTTTCCTCCGTTGTTGTAGGACACATCTTCTTGCTCAACTTCAGATGACCAGGAAGGGGTGTGCAAACCAACTTAGCACTTTTCATATTGAAGCGCTCCAGTACACGTTCTATGTACTTCTCCTGTGACAAGCAAAGCTTCCTTTTGTTTCTCGAACGAGTAATTCTCATGCCCAAAATCTGTTTAGCATGACCCAAGTCTTTCATTGCAAAAGACTTATTCAACTGTTTCTTTAACTCGTCAATCTTGGAAGCATTCCTGCCCACAATCAACATATCATCCACATATAGCAAGAGGATGATATAGTCATTATCAGAAAATCTTTGTACAAACACATAGTGGTCTGAAGAAGTCTTCTTGTAGCCTTGCTCCCCCATAACAGACTCAAACTTCTTGTACCAATGTCTGGGAGCTTGCTTCAATCCATATAGACTCTTCTTAAGTTTGCATACAAGATTTTATTTACTTTTTGCCTTGAAGCCCTCATGTTGTTCCATATAAATCTCCTCTTCTAAGTCACCGTGAAGAAAAGCAGTCTTCACATCCATCTGCTCAATCTCCAAATCAAGACTGGCATTCAAACCAAGAACTGTCCGAATGGAAGATATTTTCACGACAGGAGAAAATATTTCGTCAAAGTCAATACCTTTCCTTTGACCAAATCCCTTGACAACCAATCTAGCTTTGTATATGGGCTTCAAACTATGTTCTTCAGCTTTAACTTTGAACACCCACTTATTCTTCAAAGCTCTCATGCCCTTAGGCAATTTCACCAACTCATAAGTATGGTTCTCATGCAGAGATTTCATCTCATCTTCCATGGCTTCAATCCATTGATCCTTATGCTCATCTTCTATGGCCTCCGCATAATATTCAGGTTCTCCCCCATCAGTGAGTAATACATACTCATTGGGCGAATAACGGGAGGAATGAGTACGAGGTCTAGAAGACCTCCTGAGTGGAATATCTAACTTGTCCACAACTTCGTGAGTATGAGCATTTACCTCATCAGCATTAGCATTGTTATCACCATTACCATCAATATGCTGATCTGGAATATGGTTCTGGGCATCACCATCATCATTGAGCCCACCAGCGTCATCCGCATTTGTATGAGGAATTTGATCAAGATTAACTAAACCTTCAAAACTTGGAGATTTTAGCTTCTCCGCTTTGTTAATATCTTCAATGGTTTGATCCTCCACGAAGATAACATGGCGGCTTCTCACAACCTTCTTCTCAATTGGATCATATAGCCTGTAACCAAAATCATCAAGGCCATAACCAATGAAGATGCACTGCCTTGTCTTGGCAGTTAATTTTGACCTCTCA